CCATCTGCTCAGTGATTCACTTTTATAAAGAATGGCATGTAGCTGAGTTTCACATTCCGATCCTTGGCCAGTTCCTTCAGCTCCTCACGTATAGCGATGAGGGCATCTGCTCGGACCTTGAACATAAATAATGTGAGTAAACTTAAAGCTTCAGAAGTACAACACCGGCTAGCCATTCTAGAAGCCTGCGCTCAAGCCTAACTACCTCATCATCGTATCCGAAGTGAGGAATTTTCAGAGCTTCGGTCATAGTCTTGATCATCGCACGGGTATATCCCCGAATAGGAACAACTCGGTCCTCTGACAGAGGAGAAAACTGAACAGAACGATCAATACAAAAGGTGAGTTCGAAACAGTAAAAGAATCATATGCGGTTCGAAACACCTAAATATTCCCACCACTTTGGCTTGAGTTCCAATTGCTGGTGAATACCGAATATTGGTGGAGCCGGAGGAATAATCTACAATTCACGGTACCAGCAGTACAAGCGAAACTGAAATAGACGGGGCTCACCTTCTTTAACTTGACCAAGGAACTTGAGCACATCCTCTTTCAGAACACGTCCTTCTTTGCCACTGCCCTTCACTTGCCTTAGATCGACCTAAACTTAAATACTTTAAGTGACTTGAAGATAACTACAAAAATAAATATGCAAGCAAGACGCATTTGTTCATAAAAGTTAATTTTGGAGACAAGGAGATTTTTCAACAGCATCACAAATACATGTAGTCACGCTCAGTGCGGGTGATGGGGTGTTTCAGGGGGCTGTGGTTGGCGCGGCGTCAAGCCATTCTTTTCTTTTTTTTCAAATCGACAAGCTACAAGACTGTACCAATCGCTCCTATCAGTCGTTTTCCACCAGATGTTGTCACTTACCCTCTCCAGTAATTGCTGGAGAATGGCAACGAGCCAAACGCAGCCCTGCTGACACGCTTCATCATGCGATCAAGACTGTACAAACAATTGCTTAGTAACAACCATTTGTATGTCAGCTCGAATACAAAGAACAAAGGTGCGATTCGTTGGCTTATTTCCAGGCAGACACTCTGCGTATAAACATGCGTTGATGCATGTGTGCCTCTGCATACGCAGATAATCAAAAAAAGTAAATAGAGAACAATAAAACCAACTTTGTTCTCCATAGCAACTCGTCGGACAGCGGGTGTAGCCAGCACTTTTCCAGGTGAAGCAGCCTCAGCATCGGATGACGGTCTCGGCACGGCTTGAGGAACAGCTGATGGAGCTTCAGCTCCGTGAGCACTAGGTGCCTCAGTGTCGTCTGAAACAAACATTTTAAAAACATATTCATATACTGTTCCTTCGGAGTCGAGACTGAAAGCACATCTGAATTGGTGCTTGCATTCCCACGCTCATCATGTCTTTGCTTATGGAACCAAAACTTTTTTGTTACAGCTCATTAATGTAAGCTCTCTTTACGCGGTTTCTTTTTCGACGAGTATAGATCTCATTACCCAAGATAAGGGATTGCGCGACTGTGGGCAGCCTAATGTGCTCAACAAGATGCAAGCTAATGGTAAACAACATCAACAAATAGCGGTAGTCAAGTATCTGGAATCCGAATAGACAAGAAAATATCCGAGCTCAGAAAATAGACAGTAGGTACACAAACTCTTGAGAACGAGAAGAGTCGGCTAAGGCCGAGTCCAGTTCTCTCAAAAAGGAGAAGAACCACATCTCATATAGGAGGTTTGGAGAGCAACCCTCACTGGAACTAATTCCAGTAAAAAAGGGTAGTTCGCAGAAAGAACAATGTTTCCGGATCACAGAGAAACCTCGCGGAAGTTAAGCTCTTCTCCTGGGAAATCAATGGCGAGCACTTATAGAGGAAGCATGGCAAAGAGCTATAGACTGTTTCTGTTGTGGCTTTGAAAATGACCAGCCGCTTCTCTTGGATATAGTCGTCCTGTGCGGAAGCATTGAAGATGTGTTGCTTTCACAGCCCAAAAACATATAAGGAAAGCGCGATCCGCTCCCGACGAAAGCGATGCCCCGCCCACTGTCCAGAGCAACGCCCCATCCTTCATCTCTGAAACCTTCCTGGTGATTGTTGCGCTACTGACTGTCTAAATTTCGAGTGGTGAGAGTCAGGTGAGAAGCGAGAAAGAGCTGGCACAATCAAATAGAGAACTCTTCCTACCACCCCCTATGCACAGAAAAGTTTAGTTCACAATGAAGTTCCGCATGGGGATTTCGAGCGGAATTTTTTTTCCTGTTCTTAACTTCTTCGTGTTGGATGCCATCATGTTTTCAGCATTTCAGCACAACTCATAACGCAAAGAGTGCCTCTCAAATAGCTTGAAATTAGGGCTTTGAAGAAAAGAAAAAAGTAGGAAAGAATCAAACAAATCTGAAAATGAAACGCAGTCGAACATGACCTTTACCAGCTTCCACTTCTTTAACCCCTCCTTCAACTTCGAAATCTATCAGTGGCTGCCCTACTCGCACTACTTCATTGACGTTATAATATCTAAAAAGTTGAGATTTTTGAAACAAATCCACGTTTTAGCTCCTAAATTTGTCCGAAAGTTAGATAAATCAAAAGGAAACGCAGGCGATACTACAGTTTCTTAACGATGCCATCGAAGCGACTGGTTATGGTGACTGCTGCTTTGTCACTTTGGACTTCGCATAAGTTGTCAAACTGTGAAACTTTGTCACCAACTTTGACATGCCTGAATATTACTATTGCTTTTGAGAATCAAAAACGTTAACCACGCTGCGTTCTTTCTTTGCGTCAGCGCACGCCAGCCATCGACAAGGAAAGTATAGTCGATCTAACGAGCACCATGAAGGACACTCGAAACGCTAGACCGATATCCATAGGTCCCTAGTTGTCGAGACTGCTGTACGCTGATGCAAAGTCTGAACGAAGCCTCATAGTCAACTCGCCATTCTTTGATTTGAACTTCTGCAATCCCTTCACCAATATCAAAAAGTTTAAACTGGATAATGGAACCACCGGAACCAGAGTCGGGTTCGGGTGGAGGTGGCGCAGGAGCAGAAACTTTTCCTGTACTTTCTGCTGCGCGAGCTGTAATATAAGGTCTTGTAATATAAGGTCCTTATTAAAGTAAAACCCAAGTGTCATCAACTACTTCGGAACTAGGCGAGAAAAAGCCGAATTACCCCTCCCTTCCCCCCCCCCACAAATCCTAAGACATTCCTGACGAAAAAGTTGAATTTTAGGCCCAGGCCTGGAGTCCTCCCGGCCTGGGCCTAAAATCTCGGATCCCCAACGATTAAAAAAAACAGCAATATGTACTAGTGAAGTTGCGCTGTTTTATTCCATTCCCGCTCCGCAAAATCAGTACGTCAGGAACAGTGCTCAAGGTTGAGCAAATCTCAAGGGAAATCAAGCGAGCTCAGTGCTTTCGAGATAACTGCAGACGCAATCTAATTAGTTTAGCAAAAGGATGCAGCGTTCGGAGAGAAGTGACAATCAAAACGAACAGAAAATGCGTCGTTTGAAAAAAGACACTTCCTGACATCATTACCTTTCTTTTCCTCTTCAGCAGCTACCGCTTCAGCGACTTCAATTTCTACTAATGGTTGTCCAACTCGTGCTACATCATCCACCTTATAATGTCTGGAAACGGAAACATCATGAGAATTCACTGGTTGAGTACACAGACATTCATAAAAGAAGTGTGCATCAACCCACAATTTCTTAATAACACCATCGTATCTGCTAGTTATCGTAACTGCTGCTTTATCACTTTGAACCTCACATAAATTATCAAATTGTGACACCGTGTCACCTTCTTTGACATGCCTAAACAATACCAAACATAGAATATGCCAGGATACAGACTGGTTCAGATGAACTCCAAACAAACCACTCTTTTATTTGCACTTCTGCTATACCTTCTCCTATATCGGAAAGTTTGAATTGAATCGAAGGGAAAAGAGCACCTAAAATAGGCGAGATCTGCGAAATGAAGAAAATCGAAAACTTCTGAAACTTCGTTCACACCTCAGACCGCGTTCAGACTTCGCGATCGCTCGATTGGCTCGCACGATCATAACCTTCGCAAAACGGTGCACCGTCGCAATGGCACAATTCAAACTGGCACTGTGTTAACGTGGCCCAGTTTGAATTCTATTGTTACGGCGATTCACCGATTGGTTGTGGAGCGCCCTCGGTCGTGATCGCTCGACTGTCGAGAGATCGCGAACTATGAACGGGCTCTAAGAAGTGCAGGGTACTGAACAGCACATTCTAAGATTTTAAGGAGTGTGTTCCTCAGTTTGAAATACAGGATGGGGAGTCGTGAAAAACTCCAGGACTGGGCCACATCCAAAGCTCTGTTCAAAGGTAGTAGGAAGCTGCTTTCAGTAAAGGAACCAAGGGTCATACCTTGCAACATGAAGGATAAAGGCGTTATAAGAAGAAGAAGAGTTTACGAAAAAGATTAGATACGTACCGAGGGGCCTCCGATACTTTACTCGCGGATTCTGCAATGCTCCAAACCGTTGTTCGCAGTTTAGTTCGCTGCCGAAGGAGCGTGTCTGGCGGGGCGAGTCTGGCACCACGCCAAACCTCGTTCTCCACCAGCTGTTGAAGCGAGCAAGTGACAAGACTGTATCATATCGTTCGTATCACTCGTTTTCTACCAACTGTTGTCGCATACCCGCTTCAACAACTGGCAGAGAACGGATTTGACGCCGTGGCACACTCATACTGCCTGACACTCCCCTTCCCCGCAGTGAACTAGAGTATATCTTTTCCCTTTCGTGGAAGCTGCTTCTCCAGTGTCGCAAAGTGTGAACGCGGTCTTGCAGCACGTGTCATGCGGTTTTTTGACCAAAAGGAGGAAAGAAACACAGTCGGTGGAAAATATTAACTTGTTGCAATTTTTGGTTTTATTAAGAGCATCTACATGAGAGAATAAGCAAGGAAAAAGTAAAAGCTTGAACAGTTGGAATAATCCAATATCAAAAGTGAGATCGGGATAGAAATCGTAATCGTAACTCACCTCGAGATAAATGGATATTCTGAATGCTAGAAAAATGTATAAGTGGACGAGATAATCGAAGAAATCGGGAAACAAGCATCCTCTACACCGGATATAAACTACGGCTACTGCTAAAACAAAAACCTCCGAATGAGCAAGTGAAGTCAAACAAGAAACAAAAACAACCGCATGACAGAACGTTTCTGATAAATAGAAACTACATTCAAGAGAAATGCTTCCTTTTGCGATAAGATAAACGGCATATAATGTTCTACGGTCTATACAGCAGTCCATTTTTCAACTGTTGTCTAAATACAAGTCGGTGATCTATTCAACAGAAAGCGAATCGAAGGGGGCACATCAGTTGGGGATTTTAGTCGAGTCTGTACGACCCCCTTTTTTGAGGGTTGGTACGACCCCCCCCCTCCGGCCCTCTGTCCCTCCTCATCGAATCGAGCCGTCGAGCGGGGAGGGGGTGGGGCTACAGTACGCATGAAAGTAGTACGCATGAAACAGGAAAATCACGAAAAGTCAACCACCACTCCTAGAAGGCCAGAAAGTAAATACGACCCCCCCCTCCCAACAATGAGCAAGTACGACCCCCTCCCTTTACAACGTCCGTGAAGCGAGAAAAATCAACTATCAAAATAAATTTTTCTCAGCCCAAATACGACCCCCTCTCCTGGCGGCCAAATACGACCCCCCCTATTGGGGATTCCCCAACAACGATGTGCCCTGGTATAGAAGGATTGGAGAAGGCCCTTCGTAAGATGTCCATCGTCAGAGGTAGGAGCGAGCCTTCATTTTTAGTTGTGGCCCGAGACACAATATTGCGAGAATTAAGCTTGAGGTGAGGGAAGCAGCCTCTACCAGCGATTCCCTGGGTAAGGGAGATTCCAAATTTCAATCATTTGTTGAAAAAAATAACGGTATAGTTACTACACTATTATTACCCCGAAAGACGAGAAAACTCAGCTAATACGGGTTGTTCGATGCCTTGACCTCGAGTATGATATTCGCTTTCGAAGTTGGCAGCATTTGGTGATACTAGGCGCCAATTTGGTGCCATCATTTTTCTCATCAAAACTGGTAACTTCCATACTGGCGTTACTCGGTGCCCTGGTCACGAACATGACATTCATTTTTTCCCTGGAGCCATTAGACGCCGATTCGGCGCCACACATCTTTCCACTTAAAAAACTTGCATAGTAGGGTTGTTTGATGTCCTGGTCACGAATATGGCGATCCTTTTTCAATGCCAGCGCCATTTAGCGCTCTTCTAAGGCTCGGCCCGGGAGAAAGAATGGTTCCCTTCAACCCAGGCTTAGCCAGAGTGCCACATTGTGTCTTCCATTAGCGCTGCCGTGAAAAATGAATGTCACAATCGTAATCAGGATATCAAATAACCAATGTATACGTTTTCATTGATTCTGGTGATAAAGGGAAGCGCCTGTGGTGCGTCCACCAGACGGTTTCAGGCCAAGCGGATGTGTCTCCGTGTTACAGAGGTCGCACTGCCTCTGTAAACAACTTTTCAGTCAAAACTGCCCTCGTAGAAAAAAGTCGGTGGAAAACTGGACTGATTTCGGAAGATAGGGGTAGTTATAGTCAGCTAGTGCCTGAATAACAAGTAAATACAGCTTTACCGGAAACCTGCGAGTCAGATTTCTGCGCTGCTAGACTGCACAGGTAAAGGGTAACTGTCCCAGTGTGTTTTGAAAAGTTTGTATCCGTTCGTACTTCATGGACCTTTATTTTCTCGACGCATCACCTACTTTCAATTACAAGAAGAGAGAGGACAACACCTTCGACATGATCAACCTTTATCCGGGATGCGCAATACTTTCTGTTTCAATCACTAGTCTTTCCACACCACTTTGATGGTAATATGGCGCATACATCGACTTGATCTAGTAAATACGCAAGCAAAAGTTTTATCTTCCTGGCCACGCATGTCATCAACTAACCGACCCTGGAGAACTGGGGAGCTTCTCTGGCTTGGAAGGGAGTCGATCCGCGGCTCGGTTCGACTCCCGTGCGCTTAATAAGTGGCGCCACTTGCCCCTACATTACCTCTGCTGCTAATTGATATTATCAGGTTGGGAAGAAAGACCTGCTAGACGTTGACGTTTTGACTGGTTTCTCGTTTATGAATCAGTATGGCATTTACCACAATGTCATGAATAAGCGTCTATCTTTTGAGCGGGTTACCCATCCCTAGGAGTGTGGTGGCTGGGTGCAGTGAGAGAAGAGATAGACCTCATGCTCGCGTTGACGTTAAAGACAGCTCCCGCGATAAAAGTGTCAAGGATAATTGCTGATCAATTATGAAACAGTAGCTGATAAGTAATTCCTCAATGAAGGAAAAAAGCAACAAGAGCCCTCAAGAACACCACAAACAAAATTGCTCCCTTACAGTTACACCGCCCTGCGGTCCGTGGGCAAATCGCTTTATGGCATTTCCCAGTAGTGGACAACATCCAATTCAAAGAAAAGAATATGAAAAACAACAAAGACACGAACGAAAAACACTTGAAAAAAGGAAAAATTCAAAAACCTGGCGTCCGAATTTGGGTTACGTGAAGTGTGCGGCTTTTGGTGCACGAAAATAAATACCAATGAATAAAATGTGATGAAGGAGAGCAGAATTATTTATGGGCACGAGCGCGGTCAGCAAAAAGTACATGCAGTTCCGATTAATGCCCGCCGTCCCAACAAAGAACAACTGAGCGGCTCTCCGTCAGAGGGCAGCTAGCAAGTGGGCGGTCCAACTGGGCGGGCGTTAGAACTAGAACTTTGAGCGGCTGTAGCTCGCTCCTCGCTCACTGTGGAGTCGCGAGAGTGGGACAGTATCTAGCTTGGGGGCTGAACTACCTGCACAAGGAAGGACGACCATGTACTACTTGAGCGCGGGGGCTGTCTTTAATTATAGAAATCCAGCGAAACAGGAGGCACGGTGAACACTTCCTTGAATACAGCGCAGATGTTAGCCCTCGCGACTACAGCAGATTGGTTGGCTCCAAAGGAACTGTGGCATGACTCGTAGAACATCTCCAAGCTCTAAAAGCTTGCATGAAGCCATTGCATGATCGCATGCTGAATCCTTCTAGTACACTACAGCAATCGGGGTCGAAATGTTTAGAAGCTTTTCTTATAACAAAATTTCAGTATTGCTGTACTCTCTTCGCAGCCTAGTAGATACTGCGAAGTAGAAGGGAGCAGCATTTTAACAGGTCATTTTATCAGTTACTCCTCAAAAAGATCAAAAGAGGAAGGAAGATAGGAGGGCTCACGGCCGCTACCAAATTGTTTTCAACCGGTATAGGACGTTAAAAGAACGTACAATCTAAAGTGTTCATAGTAGCTCGATTTCATACGTCATGGCTTCGATTTCATTAGCACTCATACGAGAGGCTGAGGTACACTCTAGTTCGCTGCGGACGGTTGGGCGTGTCAGGCAGTATGAGTGTGTCACCCCGTCAAAGCCGTTCTCTGCCTTCTTGTTGAAGCGCGCATGCGACAAAAAGTGGTAGAAAACGAGTAATACGAACGATATGATACAGTCATATCATTTGCTCGCTTCAACAACTGGTGGAGAACGGGTTTGGCACCGCGCCAATCATCCGCCATCATCCCGCCTGACACGCCCAACCGTCGGCAGCGAACTACGCTACATTTGGTCTCTTCTACAATTTACTACTCAGTGAATCCTTACTGAAAGGTGTCTAAACTGTGGGACACCTAGCGCAGCTCCTGCAGTATGAACATCAAAGGAGGCACAAAGTCGGGAAGAATGGATAAGTATGACTTCGTGGACTAGGTAGTTGGTAGAGAACATGGTGGGTAAGTGCTGAAATTAAGAGAGGAGGTAGGAGGAGTCTTTGAGTGCATGCAATCAACTGCCCCATTCCCCTCAGCAAGCCACTCCCACAAATTGTTGTTGCTCATGGGAGACATGAAGTGGAGAATTCGGACCCTTACCACCTTTTTTGCAGGGATGACCACCTAAAACAAACTTGACGTTCTTATTTCTCTAAAGTGAAACGGTAGAGATGATTCAGTTTCCACAAAAAATGATTCATTAACCCAGATGTTGAACCATGTCTTTGTTGACAAACTCGTAAATCCAGGGCCTCAACTAGCTAGTGAAGGCCTAATAGCCAGAGTAATCACGTAGTAATCGAGCATCAGATCGCATTCTCATTAGAGCAAATAGCGTATTAGTGCTCGTTCTAGATCAATTAATTGGCTGAAAAGTCGTTTGGGAGAATAGAAAGAGTGGCTCAAGGATCTCGTAAGAACGCGTTCATACTTCGCGACGAGATCTCTTCGATCGCGCGACCCGACCCGACTTCGCGAAGAATGAACGTGCTATAACGTCGCGACTCGTTGTAAACGTTTGCTCAATCTGCAGATTTTTAGAGCACAATTTGGGAAGTATCCCACGGAGTTAATCAACAAGGCCAATTCACCCCGTTAGTTCATCACTACAACCCCAGAATGACTGGCTCACCCAAGGCGTGGTCTCGGAATCAACCCGCACGTCGCAGACCAAAATCGTCAAGAAAAAAAAAGAAAATTGATTTGTTCGTTGATCGATTGTGCAAGCCGTTGCACAAACCTCAAACGCATTTATATGCAACATAATGCTGAAGGTAAATCGTATCCACGGTTCACACTAAGGAAAGATCGGGCAACACCAGCCTTTTCTTGATCAGAAACCCGAAAAACTAGGGATACTCGTGTTAAGGACAGATATAAACATGAACTCAAAAGTGAAGAAAAAAATGAACAAATACACAAGGAGAAATTGGGAGTCCGTGTGATTGTGATTAGAGCACGCTGATGAATTGGGACATGATTCGCGGAAATCTCCATGCTGGTAGATTTCTATACTCGAAGAGGATGACGAATTAATTGCATTATGGTATTCCTAAATTGATTATTATCTAGACGATAGTAAACTCCAGCAAGTAGGAATTTTACTATCATTACTATCCTGGAAGTGATCTTCATGCACCATGATAGGTGGATTTGTGACTTAGAACCGAGTAATGTAGAGTAATTTCCATCCAGGAGATTGAAAACCTTTGGAACTCA